AAAACCCGAGCCCTAAACCCTAAACCCTAATCTCTAAACCTTAAGCCCTTAAACCCTAAACCCTTACACCCTAAACTTAGTTGCTGAGTTCATAGGCCCCAAAAAGTGCACACTTTCAGTTTGATAATACATGGTAGTATCCCCAAAAGTGTAAAGTGTACTCACTCAGCCACTAAGTCAACCCCTAAACCCCTAAACCCCTAAACCCCTAAACCCCTAAACCCCTAAACCCCTAAACCCCTAAACCCCTAAACCCCTGAACCCCTAAACCCCTAAACCCCTAAACCCCTAAACTCCTAAACCCCTAAACCCCAAACCCCAACCCTAAACCCTGAACCCCTAAACCCCTAAACCCCAAACCTAAACCCTTAACCCTGAACCCTGAACCTGTCCCCTGAGCAGCCTCGAGTAGTGCTTCCACCGCCCGGGGAATCTCGTTCGGTAGCCGGTGCCTCAGCTACTATTGGCTTAAGAACCCAGAAACATACAGGGTTTAGGGTTTAAGGGTTAGGGCTTAGGGTTAATAATCCCCATATTGCTTGGGATGTTCACTCTTGTACTACCCTATTGTAGTACCCCCGATTAGAATCCCGATTAAGGACTGTTAGTATAAGGGGGAACATCCCCAACTTTGCTTGAGAACCCACAAAAATAGCAGTCCCCATATAACCCTTACAAGGAAGAATCTTTTTTTTTGCTTTGTTGGGGGTTCGTAAGCAAACAGTAGTCAACTAGCTGCTTCAGGATACCGCAAGGCACCCCCTTAAGGAAGCAAAGGCTCCTAATGTAGGGTTTAGGGCTTGGTGTGGAGGATTTAGGGTTTAGGGTTTAGGGTTTAGGGTTTAGGGTTTGGGGTTTGGGGTTTGGGGTTTAGGGTGCTCAAAGAGGAACTACATTGGAGCCTTCAGGTAGGTAGTCTACTTCTGGAGCTATATGGGGTTGGGGCCCCTAGGCGCCCCCTTCACTCAGAAAACTATTGCTTGAGCTATCTGGGATTTAGGGCTGCGTGTAGGCCGTATGTTCTTAGGGTATGGTAGCTACATGGCCCCTTGAAGCCCCCTTACATACCCTATACAACCCAAGGGCCCATACTTCAGAACCCATTTAAGAAGCTGAGGGACCCTATTACCCATGAAAGGAAACCGTAAACCCTAAACCCATTGTGTGGCGTACTCGACCCAAGAGTAACCTAGCAATAAACAGGGCGCCCTGCTTGGTTTGATGGGACTTTTCAGGGGAACCTAAGACCCCCCCCCCCCCCAAAAAAAAAAAAAAACAAGGGGGAGTAAGGGCGCACCCGGGGTCCTAAACCCTAAGCCCTAAGCCCTAAACCCTAAACCCTAAACCCTTCTAGTTGCGTTCTGTAGGACTTGGGGTAGGGTGACTATGGGTTTAGGGTCAAAGGTCGCCCCGAGAGCCGAATTACCCATGATTCAGCATTGCACCTCCCAAAGCATGGTCTTGGGGTGCCCATGTTGATGAATTAGGGTTTAGGGTTTAGGGTTTAGGGCTTAGGGCTTAGGGTTTGGGATGTTCCCCCTTATACTAACAGTCCTTAGTAGGGATTATAGTACCCCCCCCCCCCCCCCCCTGCATCACAATCCTCATTAAGGGCTGTTCGTAAACGGGGGAACATCCCAAGCTATGGTTTCGTATGGGTGTAGGGCTAGGTGTTTAAGGTTGGTTGGTTGGTTAAGGCTTTCGGGTTAGGCTTTGAAGTTAGGATGAGGTTGTACAAGGAGGGGCCCCCTTGGTATACTAACTGTAGTTAAGGGACTTATAAACTAATTTAGGATCCTTATAACCCAATTGAGGGTCCTTATACCTCCACTTATAACCAGGGGGCCCCTCCTTGTAGGTGTCTTTCTGCCTGCGGGCTCAGATACCATCTCACAGAGAGGTTATCTCCCTCGAACAAAGATCCCGTACACCTGGCAGACCAGAAGCCCCAACAACCCTAAAGGCTACCTGGGACCTTCTTTACCTACAGTTTTATGGGTTCTACCTACGAATTGGGCGTAGTTACCTCTAACCTGGTTTAAATAGAGTCCCAGGTATATGTACCTAAGTCCCAAAACCCTCAAGCCCGGAAACCTCAAACCTGAAAAGCAGCTGGCCCTCAAAACTATCTCAAACCCCAAAGCCCCAAGTTCAAAAATCCGAAATCCTAAAAACCCTCAAGACCCTCAAAACCCTCAAGACCCTCAAAACCCTCCAAACCCTCAAAAACCTCAAAACCCTCAAAGCCCTCAGAAACCCTCAAAGACCTAAACCCTAAACCCCAAACCCTAAACCCTCCTAAACCCTCTGGGCCCCTCGGCCGCTGTAGCAGCTCCAAGCCGTAGTTCTGAAACTGTGTGAGGTTCTCCCCAAGATCCTTTCAGAAGGGTTTAGGGTTTAGGGTTTAGTGTTTAGGGTTCGGGTTTAGGGTTTAGGGTTTAGGGTTTAGGGTTTAGGGTTTAGGGTTTAGGGTTTAGGGTTTAGGGTTTAGGGTTTAGGGTTTAGGGTTTAGGGTTTAGGGTTTGGGGTTTAGGGTTTAGGGTTTAGGGTTTAGGGTTTAGGGTTTAGGGTCTAGGGTTTAGGGTTAGGGTTTAGGGCTTAGGGTTCAGGATTTAGGGTGTAGGGTTTGCTCCCCATGAGGTTTTACTTACGGTGTGCAGTGGCTTAGGCACGCAGGGTAACTAAGGCATGGTGACGGGTTCAGGGTTGGGGGTTTGGGGTTCGCCCTAAATCCTAAACCCAAAAACCCTGAGCCTGTTTATGAGGGACCCTAACGCAAGAGAAGGTCGGACCGTGGATCGTGGGGTTCACTCAAGCGGCAGCGCGTTTGCAGGTTGAGGCGGTGGTGGGTTTAGGGCTTAGGGTTTAGGGTGAACTTCCAAGCACTTGCACTTCACATGCTGTGCACAACTCTGCAAACCCTGGCATACCCTGGCCCAAACCAAGATGGCCAGAGTTTCATACCTTAACATACTAAATCCTAAACCCTACACGCAAACCTCAAAACCCTAAGCCCGAAACCAACCTCACACTCGCCAGAACCAAAGCTGAGAACTACTACAGGTTCCTTGGGCACGACGTGAACCGCAAAAACTAAACCCAGTTGCATTGAGATTTAAGGTTTAGGGTTTAGAGTTTACCAGCTAAAGGTTGTCGAGGGTATTCCACGCTGTGACCATACCCGACATAACCCTAAACTCTAAACCTTCCCAAGGAAGAGAGCTTCATGCTTGCCCGGAATCGTAGATTCCACGCCCAGCATGGCCGTCGATGTAGGTGAAGGGCCGACTGTCTGCAGCGTAGTGCTGCAAGAGCCTCAGGGTTTAGGGTTATGGTTTAGGGCTTAGGATAGGCCCTGCCCCTGAAAACCCTATGTAGATCCTAAACAGCAAATAGCCCAAGAAAGGCGATTTAGGGCTTGGCATCGGGTTTAGAGTTTTAACCTTGGGGTGTTCCTCCCTTATACTAACAGTCCTTAATAGGGATTTTGATCGGGCATGCGAAAGTCCCGATTAAGGACTGTTAGTACAAGGGGGACCCCAATCGTGAACAGTCATACCTATAGATACCCTACTTAAAAGCCCCAGTTGTAACTACCCCCAAAACTTAGCTTTGGAGTAGACCCTGGAAAAAAAGTATACACTTTTTAGGTATAAGTAGCTATAATAGGAACCCAGAACCAAAAAACAAGTATTAAAGTATAGTACTCCAAAACCCAGAAAACCTGAGGTTAGGTCTGGAGCCTCAAGCTATCTAAGCTCGTAAGGCCCGAGCTACACTGCGGCGCTTGCAGGTTCAGAGTTCAGGGTTCGGGGTTCAGGGTTCAGCGTAACCCTAAACCCTAAACCCTGAACCCTAAACCCTAAATCCTAAACCCTAAACTTTGGAGTTAGGGTCTGGAATGTGGGCCAAGCGCTCCCCACTAAGAGGCTCTTGCTCTCGCATCCTTAGGTTCACCATTCGGGAGTTTCTGAAAGGGTTTAGGGTTTAGGGTTCAGGGTTTAGGGTTTAGGGTTGAGGGTTGAGGGTTTAGGGTTTAGGGTTTAAGGTTTAGGGTATTGGGTACCCGTCTTGAGGGTCCCTTCAAGGGGATTCTATTGTATTTGGGGTATAAACGGGGTTCCACCCCATTTTGGGAAACAGCCGTCTTGTCATCATGGTTGAAGATTGAGTCATATGAAGTCTCGTGTTCGTTCACGGTGATGTTCCGTTCTTGACAAGAGACTCATAAAGGCCCCGGATGTTGCAGAAGTACCGCATCCGCAACCACAAACCCTATCCAAAAGCCCACAAGAACTTGAAGCACCTAAACCTTGAATTGGGCGTAAATCCTAGTTAGGGTTTAGGGTTTAGGGTTTAGGGTTAGGGTTTAGGGTTTAGGGCTTGGGGTTTGGGGTTGCGGCCATGGAGCAGCACAAGCAGGCTGTGCTTCAAGCAGTCCATGACGCTCCCCGCCTGGCTGGCTTGGTTGAGGCCAAACCCTAAACCCTAAACCCTAAACCCTAAACCCTAAACCCTAAACCCTAAACCCTAAACCCTAAACCCTAAACCCTAAACCCTAAACCCTAAACCCTAAACCCTAGACCCTAGACCCTAGACCCTATAGACCCTAAACCCTGAACCCTAGACCCTAGACCCTATAGACCCTAAACCCTGAACCCTAAACCCTAAACCAAAAAACACTAAACCCCAATCCCTACATCCCGGGAGCTACACAGCGCTGCTCTACAATGTAGCCTTTCGTCTTCTAAGGGGCTCGACTACCTTTAGAACCCAAAAGCTACTTTCCTGCGGGTGCTACTGTAAGTATGTTTTGGGTTCCTGGGGTAGACAAGAACACCCGGAAGACCCCTAATTTCCAACACTGGCCAAGCCGTACCCCCGTGCTGTAGACTCTGTTTCTTTGCAGCTTGGCTCCTGCTGATAAACACGTACCATAAACCCTCAACCCTGTACGCCCCGTAAACCCTAGAAACCCTGTATTCCTTATGAACCCAATCCTAATCATGCCCAGTTTCCGGCGTGCTATTGTGCCATTGCTGTCCCTGTTGGTTGTTCTTGGGCTTGCGCTCTGAGTCGGTCGTGGTTGGGTGCCACAGTCCGGTTGCTAAGAACAGTTCCGAGCTGCACATGCCCCCGCACTGCGCTGCTGGCGCTTGGCTGCGATCTCGGTGGAAAAATGGTCGCACCAAGTCAATCCGGCCAATAAGCTCCACAGCATCCGGCTAAGTTTCCACCCTTGCGCCGCAGCCACGAGATGTCCGTGGCGCACAGCATGGTGCGGTCGGAATCAAAGCTTGGGGCTGACGAATAGGCCTGAGCAATCAACCGTACCCCTCTCATATTCCTTCTCTCCGTGGGTATATAGACTCGAAAACGAAGAATCCGCTCGATAACGCCTAAACCATCTGTCCGTAAGTTCACAGCAGTAAAGGGTCCAACGCTAAACCCTAAATCCTAGGCTTCTTTGGGTTTAGGGTTTACTGCTCTTAAGCTTGGAGTTTATAAGCAGCCAGGTGCGCTAGTGAACTGCTGTAGCGACCACCATGACTCTTCGGACGTCGCCTAAACCCCAAACCCCAAACCCCAAACCCCAAACCCCAAACCCTAAACCCTAAACCCTAAACCCTAAACCTAAAGCCTAAAGCCTAAAGCCTAAAGCCTAAACCCTAAACCCTAAACCCTAAACTCTAAACCCTAAACCCTAATCTAAACCCAGGGTTTAGGGTTTAGGGTTTAGGGTTCAGGGTTCCCTCAAAACCTCCAGGATATGGGGGTTTTCCGCTGTTGGGGGTACCTTATTGGGTTTTTATTACAAGGGAGTCCTGCTATTAGGGGGGGTCCCCTATTCTCGTAAACCCTCATATATGCGACCCCCTCAACCCAAAGCCCCAAGCAGCCCCAAACGCAAAACCCAAAACCAAAGTCGCTGCTACATCGTATATATGCCTTGAACCCAAAACTTTAAACCCTAGCCCGGCAACAAGAGTCCCTAAAACCCTAAACCCTAAACCCTAAACCCTAAACCCTATGAGAGTCCTTGGAGAGAAACCCAACGCCCCGACCTGTTCGTGGTGGTTGTAGGCAGTCACTGCTGGCGTTGGCGCGTAGATCCTCAGTTGGCTGCACTTAGGAGGGTAGCTATAAATTAAACGTTTAGCTGCCATATTAAGAAATCCAAGAAACCCAAAAGGCTAAGGATCTAAAGTTGCAGTAAAGCACCACAAAGCTCAGTTTGTGGACCACCAAAAGAATCCAATGGAGAGAGCAGGGCAGATGAGAAGGCTTTAGTTAGGCGTTGGGGTTGACAGGGTTTAGGGGTTACTGTGAAGTAACGATGAGACCCCAAAGAAGCAGTAGAAGATAGAAGCACCTGGGACCCTTGTGAGAAAAAATGCGCAGCTGGTGGGTAATTGGGGCTGTTGCAGGCTGTCTCCACACGCAGGAGGCGGACAGGTGCAAACAAACGCAGCTTCCTCAATATCACATCTCGCAAAGTCACTCTAAACCCCAAGCAAAATCCCCGAACCCCGTTAAGTCGACACAACACCCGAAAGCCCAAACAATTTCAAAACACGAAAAAGGCACTGAACACACTTGAAACATTACAATATAGTGCCTACCGCCTATGACCCTAAACCCTCAAACCCAACTGAACTGAACCCTAAACCCTAAACCCTAAACCCCAAACCCCAAACCCCAAACCCCAAACCCCAAACCCCAAACCCCAAACCCCAAACCCCAAACCCCAAACCCCAAACCCCAATCCCCAAAACCCAAACCCCAAACCAAACCCTAGATCTTCTAAAGCCACCCTCAAATCCCTCCGCCAGGGAACACTCTAAACTCTAAACCCTAAAACCCTAAACCCTAAACCCTACACCCTAAACACTAAACCCTAAACCCTAACCAAAATACACCCTCAAATCCCGCCGCCAGGGCGCCCCAGCGCGCCCAGCGCTCCCCGCAGGCCGAAGGCCTCCCCCCAGCGGCCAGCGGCCAGGCAGACGTCCAAGGCACCTAAGGTGCTTTCTTTAGGGGTTTAGGGTTTAGGGTTTAGGGCCTAGGGTTTAGGGTTTTCTCGTAATCCCTTTGAAGGGTATATATCAGGGGATATGTAAGGCACCGAGTTTATTCCCTCATCCCCTGCTAATAGAACCTCGGGTTTTTGGGGCTTCAGGGTTCTTAGGGGTTCAAGAGTTTTATGGTTTTAAGGGTTTAGGGTTTTCGGGCTTTTAGGGCTCAGGTTTTAGGGTTTTGGGGGTGTCCGTCTAACTCCAAACCCTAAAACCCCACACCTTAAAGCCTGAAACCCAGGACCCTAAAACCCCAAAACCCCAAGCGTCCGAGCGATGTCCGCTCTAAAGCCTAAACCCAAAACCCTAAACCCTAGCCCTAAACCCTAAACCCCTATGCCGAGGTGCTGTACACCGACACTGCGTCGGCCGTCAAGCGTTGCTTGGGCAGCGCCTGTGGAAGAGCCGCTGCAAGGACCGAGGCCCACAGCTATCGGTTTAGGGTTTAGAGTTTAGGGTTTAGGTTTAGGGTTTAGGGTTTAGGGTTTAGGGTTTAGGGTTTAGGGTTTAGGGTTTAGGGTTTAGGGTTTAGGGTTTAGGGTTTAGGGTTTAGGGTTTGAGCCTTAAAGGGGTTGCCAATAGTAGCTTAGGGCCCGAGCATATACTATGTAGGTACATGGACCCTTAGGGTATTTGCTTAAACGCCACTCAACAAATGCGAATACACTTCCTAAGGGCAATATCTGGATTGTGTTTCTTCTTTCTTTTTTTTTGGGGGGGGCTCTTAAGCGAATAGTATTTTGGGGTTCGAAGGTTCAGGATTAAGGGGTTTAGGTTTAGGGTTCAGGTTCAGAAGTTCAGGGGTTTAGGGGTAGTTTGGGGTTTAGGGCCCGGAACCCCTTAATCCTCCCCCCCCCCCCCAACGATGCCGACGCAACCCCAAAACCGTGCCAAAGACGAAACCCTTCCCTAAATCTTAACCTCCACCAAGGCGCAAGCATCCAAAACCCTGAGCCCTACACCCTAAAGCTCTCTTAAAACCATGAGGAGCTCCTGGTCTGGTCCCTTGTGGAGAAGTTGGGAAGCCTTGGAGGAACATTCTGAGAGTAGAATCGAACTTGTATACACCCAGACCCCTCTGGGAGAATCCGGATCGACACCTGCACCTTTCTTGCAGGTTAAGAAAGCTATGAAAAAGAAAAAGCTCCATCAAGGTTTGTGATTCTTGCCCTAAGGCCTAAACCCTAAACCCTAAACCCTAAACCCTAAAAAGCGCGGAGGTTGACCTGCAGCAGCCCCAGGGCAGAGCCTTGGCAAAGAGAGGGCTTGGGGGTTTCGGGTCTAAGAAAGGGGAGTCTAGGTTTCAGGGTACCAGTATTTAGGGTTTATGGCTTAGGATTTGCGGTCTAGGGTGTAGGGTTGAGGGTGGGTTTAGGGTTCAGGGCGCCCTAAACGGGCGCGCCTTGGGCTTGCTGTGTTTTTGCTCGTCGGATCTCGGGCACCATGTGCTTTGGGGTTTAGAGTTCAGGGTTTAGGTTTAGGGTTTAGGTTTTCGGCCAGATGCTTGTGCGAGTTCGACATAAAAAAATATTTATATGAAGCACTGGACCCTGAAGCCCTATAGAATCTACACCCCAATATCCCCCGACCCCCCAAAACCGCTAAACCACCTAAGTCCCTCTAAACCCTGCACCCTACTCCCCAAACCCAGGGACCCTAAGCCCGGAACCCTAAAACCCTATAAGCCCTAAACCCAAAACCCCAAAACCCAGATGACTTGTATTGGAGACCCCCTCGACCCCGCAAATCCCCCAGTGGGCGAAAACCCCAAAACCCCAAGATGACCTGAAAAGAGAACACCCCCAACCCCGCAAAATCCCACCCAACACCCAACACCCAACACCCTAAACCCTAAACCCTAAACCCTAAACCCTAGACCCTAGACCCTAGACCCTAAACCCTAAACCCTAAACCCTAAACCCTTCCACAAAAAGCCAGGGGGCGCCATGCGCCCGCGGACTCCCAGGCCTTGAGGGCCACGTTGATCATGATGAGGTTGGCCTGCTTGGCTGGGGGGTTCCAACTCGAGTAGGGTTTAGGATTTAACGTTTAGGGCTTAGGGCTTAGGGTTTAAGGGTCTAGGGTTTTAGGGTTTAGAGGGTTAGAGGGTTTAGGGTCTGGGGGTCTAGGGGTCTAGGGGTCTAGGGGACTAGGGGTCCAGGGGTTTAGGAGTTTAGGGGTTTCGGGGTTTAGGGGTTAGGGGTTTAGGGGTTCAGGGGTTCAGTGGTTTAGGGTTTTAGGGCTAAGGGTCTAGGGGTTAAGGTCTTCGGGGTTTCCCCTTGGCTTATAGTGTCTCTAGGGTTACATATGAGGCCATGAGCCCACCCCCAAAACTTCCTAGACTCCAAATCTGCTTACATGGTTCAGAAGTTGCAGGTAAATTCTTACTGGCCCAAAATCCAGAGAAATAAAAGTTGAAACTTTCAGAATCACCTACCTTATAAGAAGCCCAAAAGTTGAAAAGTTGGGTTTTGAGCCAGTAAGAATTTCAGCCCGATTCGATCGCGAACAGCCGACGGGCCGATAGAAAACGCCATCAACCCTGGGCCTCTTCACCCCCCCCCCCCCCCCCCCCCCCCCCCCACCTCCCGGGCCCCCCGACAGCCTGAACCCTAAACCCTAAACCCTGAACCCTAAACCCTAAACCCTGAACCCGAAACCCTAAACCCTAAACCCTAAACCCCAGAACCTCAAAGGTGCCTTCATCCCATGGCTTGCCAGCGCGGACAGCGTGTGGAGTGTGTCGGGCCAGGGTCGGTTCATGGAAGGCGCCTCGGGGTTAGGGTTTAGGGTTTAGGGTTTAGGGTTTAGGGTTTAGGGTTTAGGGTTTAGGGTTTAGGGTTTAGGGTTTAGGGCTTAGGGTCCGGGAGGGGGTTTAGGCTTTGGGGCTTAGGGCTTAGGGCTTGGAGTTCGAGGTTTGGTTTGAGGGATTTCGTCCCGCTGAATGAAGAGGTTGAGGATTGAGTTTGGGTTTTCGGGGCTGAGGGCTGCAAGGGTTCTCGAAAAATGCCCCATGTAGAAGCCATCAATGCAAGGATGTACGACCTTGCCACTACCTTGTATGTTAAGCTACCTCGACACTTCGCACCCGGAAGAACTGTTGCATTCTTTGGGGACCAGGTATGAGTAAATGAACCGAAAATTGGTGGTCATAGTCCCCTATACTATGATCCCTAGTAAGGTATATGATCCACAAACCCTTGTGGGGTTCATGTGGTTCAGAAGGTTGATGTACACCTGAAGGTCGGTTGTCGGTTGCTGTTACATGGCCTGTGTCTGCTGGGTTTAGGGTTTAGGGTTTAGGGTTTAGGGTTTAGGGTTTAGGGTTTAGGGTTTAGGGTTTAGGGTTAGGGTTTAGGGTTTAGGGTTTAGGGTTTAGGCGCCTCGGAGGCGTGCGCTGAGACAGCAGACATGGCCAGCTGGTCATTCGAAGCAGAGTGGCCCTGAGGCAGCGAAGGCCCAAAAACGCGACAGCTGATCTGCTAAACGACAAGTCGATGAGAAAATCTAGGGATGCGTGCATCTGTCCGCAATGATCCAGCACCTCGACTATGCCTCAGAGCCTCAAAGCCTAAAACAAATACCGAACCCCTATCCCCTAAACCCTACCTGCGAGGGTTCGGGGGCTAGAACCCTGAACCCTGCTATAAGCATGGGGGGGTACCTTGGCGACCATATGAACCCTAAAAGGGTTTCTGGTTCATGTACCTTACTAGGAAGAAGAGTAGATAGGGTATATGAAGCAGGGTACATATTACTGTTTTTGGTGAGTGTATGTAAGGCTCCTTTTTAATATTGGTGAGTGCATACCTTGGGTGTCCTTTTGGAGATACAAGAAATATATACCCTGCTTCATATGACCCCAAATCTAGGGCCCAAGGTAGGGGTGGGGGGCCTCATAGCGGCGCCCGGCCAGTGGCCCGGTGCTTCTAGCACCAGCGGGAGACGCTTCCGACGCGCCCTAAACCCTAAACCCTAAACCCTAAACCCTAAACCCTAAACCCTAAACCCTAAACCCTAAACCCTAAACCCTACAACACACCCTAAACTAAGCCCTAAGCCCTAAACCCTAAACCCTAAATGACAAGGGGCCTGTGACAGCTGCAGGGACCACCTCCAGGTCTTGTCACGGTTGCCTGAGCTTTCAGGTAAAGGGTTTAGGGTTTAGGGTTTAGGGTTTAGGGTTTAGGGTTTAGGGTTTAGGGTTTAGGGTTTAGGAGGGTTTAGGGTTTAGGGTTTAGGATTTAGGGTTTAGGGTTTGACGTTTGGGGTTTATTAGGGTTTAGGATTTAGGGCTAGGGTTTAGGGTGATGAAGTTAAAAACTAAAATATGTTTTCCAAATATTATGGGATCCAGAGGGTTGGTGGGTAGATGTTCGCTACCAGGGTAGCGAGCCTGACTAGTGAATGCTTGGACTTGAGATGCTGACCCTAAACCCTAAACCCTAAACCCTAAACCCTAAACCCTAAACCCTAAACCCTAAACCCCTCAAGAGTCCCGGTTGCAGGCCACAGCGGCAGCGCCGATGCTGACCGCATTGGGCTGCAGACCCCCGCCTTTGGCCTTGAGACTTAGGCTTCAGGGACAGTGTAGGGTTTAGGGTTTAGGGTTTAGGGTTTAGGGTTTAGGGTTTAGGGTTTAGGGTTTAGGGTTTAGGGTTTAGGGTTTAGGGTTTAGGGTTTAGGGTTTAGGGTTTGGGGCTTAGGGTTTAGGGTTTAGGGCTTGTAGGGTTTGGGGCTTATAGGGTTTGGGGCTTAGAGGAAACTCCAGAAAGTTGGAACAGGATCCCTTTAGTCTACCTCTTGGGGTATCGGGATAAGGATGGTCCAACTTTTTGGAGTTTACTGTAGGGTTCAGGGACGGTGTAGGGTTTCGGGATTAGGGATTATAGGGTTTAGGGCTTTGGGCGCACAGGGCTTAGAGTTTAGGGCTTAGGGTTTATGGCTTGAGGGCTTAGAGTGTAGGGTAGGGTTTAAGGCTTATAGGGCTTGTAGGGTTTTAGGGATTTTAGGCTAAGATAGTGCGTAGGGTTCAGGGCTTAGAGTGGAATATAAAATCGGGTTTAGGATGTAAGTTTTCGGGGGTCAGTACGGCTGAGGGCTCAGTGTTCAGTTCGGGTTTAGGGGGGGCTCTCAGGTCAGAAATTCGGGATTCCTACGCATCTGCTTACGATCCTTACGACAAGTTGAGGCTTTCTGATAAACAAGATTCAGATGTTCCACGCCCCCTACCATTACCTTAACTGAAAAAACACTTCAATTCTGTGGGTTGAACTATGGATTCTCCCTAAACCCTAAACCCTTGACCCTTAACCCTAAACCCTAGACCCTAAACCCTAACCCTAAACCCTAAATCCTAAACCCCCCTAAACCCTAAACCCTAAACCCGAAACCCTAAACCCTAAACCCCAAACCTTTCAAGGGGCCATGTGCAGGGCCGACAAGCACTGAGACCAGCCCAGAACAGTCATGGCGGTCCCGTAGGACACAATGTCGGCCGAAGGTCCTCGTGCCCAAGTCCGTCAGGGTTTAGGGTTTAGGGTTTAGGGTTTAGGGTTTAGGGTTTAGGGCTTTAGGGCTTAGGGTTTAGGGTTTAGGGTTTGGGGTTTAGGGTTTAGGGTTTAGCGTTTAGGGTTTAGGGTTTAAGGATTAGGGTTTAGTGGAAATCCCGGCCTCCCCCCCTGACATCTGATCGAATGCTTGATACGCTTACATACCCTTTGTAGAAGCTATCCGTGGTCGGTTTCGGGTTTAGGGTTTTTGGGGTTTAAGGGCTGTTCCCTAAACCCTATCAACCATAATCATAAACACTAGACTAGGGCTTCGGCGGCTCTGCCGACGGAACTCCCAACTTTGCGTGCTGAGGATACTGGCTGCCCGAAACCCTAAACCCTAAACCCTAAACCCCAAACCCCAAACCAAAATTCAACCTCAACCCTGCACCTTACCATTCAGTCCTTCCTGTACCTCAGCAAACAGCGCCAGGGGGGGGGATTCGGATTTAGGGATCAGGGTTCAGGGTTCAGGGTTTAGGATTTAGGATTTGGGGTTTAGGGTTTAGGGTTTCGGGATCAGGGTAGGACCCACAACTGGGCAATAGGGAAACGTTGTAACACGCCTCAGATTGACATCCAATGTGTAGAGGAGCGCCCGGAGAATTCTGAACAGCTTTTGGCGGGTTACCCAGGAATGCTATAAGAGGTGTTCGAAGCCAAAAACCCTCAACCATACCTTGCCCCATATGGGGGCTTCCGACATTAGGCGTACCTTTATTGGGGTCTTTATTCCTACTATTTTGGGGTCCACATTTGGGGCCCCTTATGATCGTAAACCCTGTATGGCCGCCCTAGCTATCTACACGGGGTATTGCGAGACAAGAAGTTCAGTGCTCAGGCAGTTGACACGAGATGCGGACACCTTCGACCGAGTGGCCGTGCCAAGAAGTGGCGGGGTCACAGAGGGTTTCGGGTTTGGGGTTGGGTTTAGGGTTTAGGGTTTAGGGTTTAGGGTTTAGGGTTTAGGGTTTAGGGTTTAGGGTTTAGGGTTTAGGATTTAGGGTTTAGGGTTCAGGGTTCAGGGTTTAGGGTTTAGGGTTTTCGCGAGCTTCGCTGTTTTCCGGCACACGCTCTGCAGGAATCGTGCTGGTCGGCGCCGTTTCGCCGCGACTGTAGGATGCGAATCGCAGCTGCAAGCACCTCGTCGTCCAAGAGGTACCGAAGCTTCATTGCGAGATGACACCTTTCATGATGTACCTTCCTTGTGCACGAGTGGGTTTCCTTAGTTGCGATGAGTTCCTAAAAAAAAGTGTACACTGTCAGTTCTACAGGGGATTCTGGTATCCCAAAAAGTGTAAAGTGTACTAATTCAGCTACTTAGTTTCACACAAGCACAACTCGGAGTCGAAGAAGACGGCGGCCGGCGTCACGATCGGCCGCTCCCATCGACTCGGATCCTGGTTGTACTTCCGGGTCCAGAAGACAGCATCACCTTAGTTGTCCAGGAACCTCGGGGAATTAAAGGTTAACCTTTGGGAATATAAGGGGTTTGTGTTACCCCAAAAAGGTTAAAGGCTACCTTACTCTACTACTAGGTCACCTGGGTCGTCTGGACCACGCAAGAGACTCATCGGGTCTCGGACCAGCTCAGACGACTTGTGGAACCACTTCCCATCCACCTGCGCATAGAGGTGCGGGTTGCTTCTACAGCAATACCTGCTGAAAGCTTCGCCCTCGGTCTCATCGCTGCTGGCATCCCTCCACGTAAAGGCAGCCCTCCACCGCGACCAGCCAGACCATTCTCTGGGAAGTTGGGCTACTTCCCGCGGTGTGATGCTCGGGGGTGCGAAGCTTCCCTTGGCAACAGCCTGTGGTCTCTCACGCCAGGGGACGCACTTCCTCCGGAAACTCATCAGCAACCTCTCCGCCACGGATTCCTCGGGAAGTGGTCTCCTACAACAAAGTCGATGAACCAAACCCACATCAGAGATGTTGGGAGGGGGGGGGTTCCGAAATTGGGGGGGGGGGGTGCTTTTTTGTTCTCTTGGGTGGGATGTGGGGGGGAGGGGGGTTCCAAAATGTTTGGTTTCAAGCAGCTCTTTACCTGGCATTCGGCGCTTTTTGCTGATTTTCTGCGTGTTTGTCAAGCGAAGTAATTCTGCTCCACACCGACCAGGGCTCTGCCAGGAAAGCATCGTGTTCCAGCTTTGCAGAGCAAAGCTGCGCCATCGCCTGTCGCAAGTCAGGGTGCAGGGGTTAGGGTTTAGGGTTTAGGGTTTAGGGTTTAGGGTTTAGGGTTTAGGGTTTAGGGGTCCTACACGTTAAGCCCCGATCCCGTAACCCTGGCTATTGGAAACAATGGGATCGCCTACCCCTCCGCAAAACCCTAAACCCTGAACAACCCTAAACCCCATACCCTAAGCCCTAAAGCCTAAACCCTAAACCCTAAACCCTAAACCCTCAACCCTCAACTCAAGTGAATACATGGGCTCAAGCCCTGATGGATTTAGGGCTTGAGGTTCATTTAGCCCTCACGGCCGCCCCGGAACCCCGCCCTCCAACCCCTCCCTTGCCCCCCTTCTCCTCTCCCTCAGGGTCCATGTACCTATATCAAAAACACTTGGGCCTGAAAGGGTTTAGGGTTCAGGGTTCAGGGTTTAGGGTCAAGGGGGTTCCCGAAAAGTAGCTTTCGGGCCCAAGTAGATACTAAATAGGTACATGGGCCCTTAAGGGAATGAGTCTTGCAAGGCGTCATGTCCAGATACCATAAGAGGGATTCTGAGAGTATCGGGTATATGCGTAATTATCTTTTTGGACTCCTTTTTGGGGTCCCATATTGGGATGTTCCCCTTTATACGAACAGTCCTTAATAGGGATTATGGTAGGGGATACGATAAGCCCCAGTAAGGACGGTTAGT